TTGTGCATGGGGGCGGGGTGGGGGTGGGGGTGTCATGTGGATCCAAACCAACTCAGTAGCACCTGACAACAACATTTCTGGGGGTGATGATGATACAACGTAACCACAGCTCAGTGTACCAGCAGTTCAAAGTAGCCAGCTACACAGCTGCAGGGTTCAGGGTGCGCCTGCGTGCAGGTACAAAGTATCCGCATTTCAGCACTCTGGTCACGCAAAGTAACCACAGTTCATCATGCTGATGCTACAGTGTAACCAAGCTCAGCCAGCGACGAGACAGAGTAACCAGTTGACAGGGCTGCGCATGGGAGCTAACCGCAGTGCCTGTGCTGAAGAGGCAATGCACCCCCACCCCAGCTGGTGCCCACCATGCACCACAGAGCTCTCCTGCCCACCTTCACTGTGAGAATGGCTCAGCAGCTCTGCCCTCTGGCGCTGAGACCCTCAGCCACGGCAGCCACGTGGACTCTCCACCTGGCCTCTACCAGGTGCATGCGCCTGCAGATGGGGACACTGAGGCGACAAGGGCCAGGCCACTGGCCCCAGAATGGCACTGCTGGATGAGGTGGTACACACAGCCTCTCTGAGGCCGGGAGGGATCCTCTGGGAACGAGCTTGGCCACCATGCTGGGTGCTGGGTTGCTTCCGGTGTGAGATCGCTCAAGAGTCCTGGGTTCTGCGAATGGCTCAGCGTCCAGCTGCTGGCCAAAAGGTGGGCAGATGAAGCCCATCCAGCCGCTGGGTCCCCGTGGGGCACGACAGCTCGCCTCCCACTCCAGGGTCACCCTGACACGAGTGACTCCCGGCAACAGGCGTGAACGGTGGTCTGAGATACTGCAGTCAGGACACGGAGCCTCCTGCTGGTTTGTTGCTGCTGCCGTTGTTGGAGGGCCTGGCTTCAGCGCCGACTCACAGCCCCGGATGCCCAACAGAACGCAACACTGCCCGGTCCTGCGCCAGCCTCACCGTGGTTCCCATGCCTAAGCCCGTGCTGAGAGCCACGGTGTCCGACCTCTTGTCCTCTGCCCCTCCACTCTGCCCAGCACTATGTCCTTCTCCAGGCATGCACACAGCAGGAGAGGTGGCTCAGGCGCACCCTACTCCCCATGGGAACAGCCTGGCTCTTTGCCCCTGTAAAGAGGTCTGGGCACCGGGTTCACCCCATGCCACGTGCTGGCCGATCACCCCACAGCGGCTCCGTGAACCCCGGCTGCGCATTCCACGCAGGACGAGGGCCTGGACGATGGTATTCTCTCTCCATGTCTCAGGGTTTCCTGCGGGGCCGTGGTGAGGGGCCGGGTCTCCCAGACACTGCCTTGTCACCCACACTGAGGGCCACGGTCCCTGTTCTTCATCAGCAGCTCGGGGTATTTGGGTGCTCACTTCTGGGTTCGGTTTGAGGGGGCTGGCCCTGAAATTGCCTCCAGAGCCCGGATGCGCTGGGTGACCCCTGCCCTCCCCTCCCTTGGCAGAGTCGGCCTCCAAGACGGTGACCTCATCGTCAAGGTCAATGGGCGTGCGCTGGGGGACTCGAGCGAGCTGCAGGAGGCGGTGCTGACCGAGTCCCCGCTCCTGCTGGAGGTCCACCGGGGCAACGATGACCTGCTCTTCAGCATCGCACCCGAGGTGGTCCCCTGAGGGCTGCCACGCTGGGACCAGGATGCATGCCAGACCAAGGACCTCACTGGTCCTCAGCAGACTACTACCACCCCTGAGGCCAGAGGCCAGTCTTGGCTGAGCTCCAATGTGACCCTCGGGGGCTGGACTCCCTGCCCCGTGCCGTGAGGCCACTCGACAGACAACCCCTGGAGTGACCGACCCAGTGACCTCCTGAGAGGTTCAGCTCTCCTTATCCCTGCCACACACCTGGTGGCCTCCGCCTGAGAGGCCTGCTGCCCGCACGCCGTCCTGCCCTGGGAGTCCGTACCCCCACTCCCACCCCTCCTGGGCCTGGACCAGCCGGCGCCTCTGTGTGGACCCCACCATGTGCCAGAATAGCACCGTGGACACAGGCCATCCACTTGTCCTGTCCTCAGCACCACTGTCCCAGATGAGGGGCCTCTGGGGAGGGGGCCCTGCGAGGACAGAGCCAGCTCCCCACCACACACACACACACACTATGCCGATGCTTCTCCTGGAGCCCCTCCCCCAGCAAGGGACCTGTGGCCCTCAGGGGTGGTGTGTGTCACATGTCCTGTGAGCTCCTCTGTAAAGTCACATTGCCACAGTTGTCTGAGCAGTGAGTCCCTCTACTGCGTGGAAATCAGCGTTGCCCAGCCGCCACCGTGCAGGGGACCCACACCGACCTGGCCCCAAGCCTGCAGGCGGCCATGAGGGGCTGCAACCCGGACTTCGTGGGACGGACCCAGCTGAGCCGCAGGAATGGGGCCAGTGGGGACCCGCGGGTGGCCATCAATCGGGCAATAATGGGCTAACTTGGGCTTCTGGTTGGGGAACAGAGCTGCCCCTCTGCCCTGTTTCCTCTCCCTGCAGCCCACCCAGCCGCAGGGAAACTGAGGCAGAGAGAGGTGAAAGATAGTTGCTGGAGACATGAGAGAGGATGGAGCCCAAGACTGCTGGCCTCCCGGGCACCAAGCCGGTGGGGGGGAGGGGCAGGAAGGGTGTGGCCACCACCTTCCTTCACCATGGAGCTGGGCCATGGCTGAACCCGGGTGCCCTCAGATGGCCAAGTACATGAGCCCCCAAGATGAGGCTCTTGGGAACTCTGAGGGACTCTGGCCAGGCCGTGATGGGTGTGGGGTGGCCGGGGGGAGGGGGGGTGTCACAGGGGAGTCCTGGGGGCCCTGGTCCAGGAAAGATCAGTGAGCTGCCCGATGAGGGCACGGTGTCCTGATCCCAGCCCCGTCTTCCTTGGGGACCACACGCCCAGCCCCTGCTCACAGCTCCCCCATCTGGCTGTATGGGCCAGGCGGGTCCCAGAGCCGCCTGCTGCCCCAACCTGCACATACCCTAAGTCTGTTCATGGGCGGCCAGGCCCCTTCCAGGCCCCACTGACCACATCGACAGGGCTTCACCTCGCACCGACCACATCCTCTGGTTTCTCCTGGAGCCGCACCCCCACACCCCCAGGCCCCCGCCAAGAATCGGAATGTAAGGGGTGGGGTGCTCAGGGACCCTGAGAGGCAGGAACGTGTCTGGGGAAACCACAGAGGCTTTGAGGGGTGAGGAGATGGGAGGGAGTGGGAGGGGCAGGGGGAGAGCCCTGGGGTTGGGTGGAGAAGTAGTGGGGAATGGGATAGAGAGAGGGGTGTGTGGGGGCAAGACTGAGTGGGAGGGGCACCTGCAGAGGAGCAGGTTGTGGGAAGGAGGGAGCCTGAGGGGGCTGGCACATGAGGCTTCTGCAGCAGGACCCACCAGCTCTAAAGTGGGAGGCAGGGCCTGCTTCCTGCTCTCCCCTCCCCCCCAAGGCTCTCAGCTGATGCTGGGGTCCTTAGTATTTGAACCAGCCACGTTCAAGGGCTCTACCTCCACAGCTGTGGCTCTGATGGCTTCCTGCCCCGCAGCTGGCCCCTGGCTGCTCCCCCAGCTGCATTCAGTGAAAAACAAGCCTGAGGAGCTGCCAGTAACCCTCAGCCCTGACGCTACCTCACAGCTGGGGAGGCAGCTCCCTCTACACCAGCCCCAGACACTCACTCCATCGCAAACAGGGGGCTAATGAGCCCCCACAGTCTGCCCCTGAGCCAGGCCTCCACCCAGCCCTGCAGAAGGCAGCCAGGCCCATGACACTGCAAACAGGCTGCTAGGGCACCCAGCCTCTCCTCCCCTGCCTGCTGGGCTCCCTGCAGGAGTTGGTGCAGCCCAGTCTCCACAGAGAGCAGGTCTCCACAACTTCCCTCAGCCTCAGCCTGACTTCCTCCTGTTCCACAGACCCCTCCCTCCCCACCTCCCCACTGACCCGGTCTCTGAGCACCGGTCACAGCTCCTGTGGAGTGGCGGCTGCTCCCTGGATCTGTGATGGGAGGTCCCCGGAGCATGATCACTGAGGGGGAGTGAGTGAAGAAATGAAGGAGTGAAGGAGTAGGTGAGTGAAAAAAGGAATGAATGAATGGAGCGAATGGATAGAGTGAAAGAATGAAGGAGTAGGTGAGTGAGTAAAGGCATGAATGAATGGGGTGTAGGAATGAATGATTGGAGTGGAGGAATGAATGAATGGGGTGAGTGAAGGAATAAAGTGAGTGAATGAATGAACAGAATGAATGGAGCGACTGAATGAATGAGTTAGTGAAGGAATGAATGAATGGAGTGAAGGAAGGAGTTAGTGAAGGAATGAATGAATGGAGTGAAGGAAGGAGTTAGTGAAGGAATGAATGAATGGAGTGAGTGAATGAAGTGCGTGAATGAGTGAACTGTTTGGGCCGGGGTAGGCAGCCCTGTTTGCACTAAGCTGAAGCAGGTCCGGGCCCTGCACGTGCTGCCCTGCACATCCCAAAGGTCAGCAGCAGCTGGGCCAGAGAAGATGACCGGTGAAACCAGATGTTCCGGTTCAAAGAAAGCTGCAAGGAGTCCACAAGCAATTCTGAGTTTCCAAACCAGTACGCGGATTGCCATAGCTGCCACACATTCCTCACCACCCCTTTAAAAACCCGCACCCCCAGCTGCTGAGCAGGACTCCCCTGGCCTGTTGGGGAGCTCACCCCCCACCCCCTAATAAAGCTATTTCTGTTTCTGCTTGTCCTGTCAGTTATGTCTGTCTGTCTCCCAGTTCCCCAGTTTCACCTTTACATGAGCAGCATGAATGGAGTGAAGGAAGGAGGGAGTTAGTGAAGGAATGAATGAAGGGAGTGAGTAAATGACTGAAGGAGTAAGTGGAGCACAGACCCCGCAGCCGGGGCCCCTGGTGCTCCTGCGGCCCACCATCACTCCTTGACCATCCGCGGAGCACTCAGTCCTGAGTCCACCCTGGCCAGCCTACGCTCAGCGGACAAGCGAGTGCCCTCCCAGGCCATGGTCAGGAACCACCCGGCAGCTGGGCTGTCATCCAGGGCCTCACCTGGCCCCTCTGAAGGCCCAGGCGAGGTGACTCCCCAGGAGGTCCTGGAAGCTGCAAGCGCAGGTTCAGAGAGGGTCCTGCCGGCCCTGATCCAAATGCCCATTTCTCAGAGACGGGCACCGAGACCCAGAGTGGGACCACTTGATCCTGGGCACAGGGAACCAGCATCGGGCCGCTAGGTGATCCGGTCCCCAGGCAGGGCCAGGCTCACCAGGAGACGTGTGTGGGCCAGCAGGCTCGTGGCCGCAGCATGGTCCCATCGGAGCCCCTCCCTGCTCCCTCCAGGAGCTGTGACTCTGGGTCCAGTGGGCAGAGATGGGTGTCCTGGGGAGGGGCAGGCTGGGGGTGGGACCACCGGCCAACACTAGCACAGCCTAGGACCACACAGGGCCTCCTGCCTGCACACGGCCCTTCATGTGAGCACACACAAGTACACACACCGAACACATGCCCACCCAGACAGCATGTGACAGCACACATGGGCACATACAAAGCACACACCCGACTGCACACAGCACTGTGATGAGTGTATGCACAGCACACGTGAGCACACACCACACACATGCGCCCAGAGCATGTGCTGACCCGAGGGCCCACAGGGCTGACCTGGGATGAGGTGGCTGCTCGGTGAGACCTGTTGCTTCTCGGAATGACCAGTTCTGGACTGTGGAGTGTCCCCATGGGCAGCATCATGGACTGAGTTGTGTCCCCAGAACACGTGTGCACTCTGCTGGGTCCTGATTCTGAGGGGCTGGGCAGCTGTGGAACGAGGTCATCACCAGATGAGATCTGATGGCATCAGCCGATCAGTTGTGAAGGATAATTAATCAGATCATTAATTATTCATGCAGCAACACTAATCATAGCTCCACCCTGATTCAGTGTCAGGGGTATTTCCCTGGGGGTGGTCTCACCTCCTTTATCACTCAAGATACAGAAGGAGAGGGAAGCCCACTCAGAGAGAGGGGCCGACCACCACCAAAGAAGGGGAACTGGGGGAGCGGGGCTCCTTGGGGCCGAGGGGCCCTGTGCTGGGGACCTGCTAGGCCCAGAGGAGAGCTGGTGCCCCAGACCTTCCTCCAGGGTCCAGAGAGGCAGAGACAGAGAGCGGGAACCCCTTCCCTGAGGGCTGCCGCTGCCCTGGGCCCAGACTTTGAGCCCCATAAATGTGACAGGAAGTGTTTCTGCGAGGGTCCCCCGTGTGGGAAACAGAAAGATTTCTCCCAAGTCGTCTCCCCCAGATAGATGTTAGACTGAGGACACTGCTTGCAGCTAATGGTAAATGATTGTCAAGTTACCTCCCTGAGGGCAGTCAGTTGCCAGACTACTGTCTGGTCGCTGTAAAGCGGAACTGGGGAACAGGGAGGAAGACAGACATAACTGACAGGACAAGGGAGAGCAGAAGCAGAAAGTAGCTTTATTAGGGGTTAGGGGAGCTCCGGACGAGGTTCCAGGACCTAGGTCAACAGGTCAGGGAAGTCGTCCTCAACAGCTGGCGGAGAGGGTTTTTAAAGGGGTGGTGAGGAAAGTATGGGGTCTGGAAACAGGGAGAATTGCTTGTTGACTCCTGGAGGCTTTCTTTGAACCCAGAACATCTGGTTTCACCAGTTCTCTTCTCTGGTGCCCGTCTGCCGCAGACCTCTGGGACGTGCAGGGAAGCTCGTGCAGGGCCCGGACCTGCTTCAGCTTAGTCCAAACCCGGGCTGCCTAGTTCAGACCTGGCCCCAACAGTCCACCGCAGGTAGGGCCCACTCCCCGCTGTTAAGGACAATGGGCTACTTCTCCCTAAAGGCTTGTG